ACGTCCTTTGGTTTGGAGAGGAAGTCTCCACCCAGACCATCTCGAGATCCTGGGTATGGAGCACAGCTCTTCTTACAAGGGTATCGCTTTTATTAATAACACAACTTTCTTGCGGTGGTTGCTAATCGAAGGCAGTTGTGCAATTGAGGCATAATTTGTTTGAAAATTCCTTGCCTTCAATTAGGTGTACTCCATGACTGACAGGGATTTAGCTGAAACCTGGCAACTGCGAGGCAGTGACGTGGTGACACCATCTTGCATTACCTGACTGATTTTTAACCTGCTGAGTCCCGTCGGTCCCTGCTAACGATGCCCCTCAGGACTGCCCACGCTGTGGGAGGCGGGTGCTGGTTCAAAGGAGGCAGAGAGATGGTGAGGAAGGCTGGTGAAACACGTCCTGTCACTGGTTTGGATGAGCATCGGGCAGCATCTCCTTCTTAAGAACGTAATTCTCACCAGGTGGATCAGTGCAACTTCAATTTTTTAATGTAAAGGTGGTCGATTTTATTTTTTTCTCAGAAAAGCATCATGGCTTTGTCAAGACAGAAATATTGGAAAAAAGTAAATTGCACTGAATATTTCCCTCCAGATTGGCTTTGAGAACCCTTGTGCCAACGCAAGCCTTACTGCAGGCTCTCCTCCTCTTTTTGTTTTGGATTTGAATGCATCGTTTTCTGTGCTCATTAACAAGAGACCAAGAGAGCCTGAGCTCCCACACAGCGGTGTGGAGTTAAGCATCACGTGGAGGGTGGCAATCAGTATTAATTTGGCAAACTTAGGGTCAGGTCCTGTTCACCTCATTCACTTGGGGTTTCCTCAAATCCTGCTCATCACCACAGGATCAATTTTGCATTGATTCCTTTACCAGGGGTTTGCTGATGAATTTTATCCACAGGAAACGTTTTAGGAATGATTTACTGATTTACAAGAAAATAAGCCTAATTTATCCCTTAGTTGCTTCTGGCATATGAACTTCCTCACTGAGTTGTTGGCTGAGGACCTGATCCGTTGCAGGTGCTGGTGCAGACATCGCTGCCCGCTCCGGCTCCGGCTCTGATCCCGGCTGGATGCTGGGTCCTGCGCTGGGAATGCGCTGTCTCTGCCACTTCTGTGGGTGTCCCCGTGTCCTCAGCCAAGAGTCTGCAGGAGCCCGGCAGTAAATGGTCCTTGCAGAGCCACCGCCGAGGTGCCTGGGCCCCCCGTGACAGCAGCTGGGTGCTGGGACTCTTTCCTCTTTCTCTGCGGCAGAGGAAGAAAGCTGCTGTCACAGGGACTAATCTCAAGGCGCTGGCTTTTCCTGTGCCCAGACCAGCATGTCCTGTGCAGTCAGGGAGACCTAAGAATAAAAATATTGGGTACTGTGAGCAGTGTAAGGGATGTGAACAAATACCAATGAAAAAAAAAAAACCCAACAACATTTCCCTTTCTCGATTCTCTGCAATCCCATTTGAGCTTTAAACATTTTATAAATAAAAAGTCATTCAGGTATAATTACATCCAGGATAGTAAGTTTAAATTGAACACTTTGTTAAGTAGCATTTATTTAGGGAGTCTTTTTTTTTTTTTTTTTTTTTTTTTTTTTTTTTTTTTTTTTTTTTTTTTTTTTTTTTTTTTTTCCCCTGTGATTTTCCTGGAGTGGAAATGCCATCGTGTTGGCTGGGGATTCACCACGGCAGTTGCTGGCCGTGTGCTGGTGGAGCATCCCCTGCTGTCCCCCTGTGCCCCCCGAGCGCTGCCGGTGCCCCAGCTTCATGGCACCCATGGGTCTCTCCTGTTAAGGGTTGAGGGGGAAATGCTCCCCCAGGGAGGTAAAAATGCTCGTTATTCTTCAGAGGGTGCTGCAGAGCTTGTGGGATCTCCGGGGTGATGAGGCTGAGGAGTAGCAGGGAGGAAGAGTAAGAGTTCCCAGCGTTGGAGCCGGGGCAAAGTATGTTAATTGCTAATTCCACTGAAACTCTGCATTTGGGTATTTCACAGCAAACTCCGCTCTGTGCTTCAGCTCAGAGCCGGTTTATTTATCAAAACTGACTAAAAAACCCCAGTGCCAATTACAGGGAGACTGTAATCCGCCTTGGAGTTTAGAGGACGTGAGCATCCCTGACCTGTTGCGTTGGTTGTTGGAGCAGGGAGTGAGGGTCTCCCACAAAAACGCAGTCCCGGAGCGTGGCGGGGCTGGGCTGAGGTGTGTAACGGAGCTTTGTGTTGGTTTTGCACGTGGTTGCACTAACGCAGGGCTTGTTGGAGCAGGGAGTGAGGGTCTCCCACAAAAACGCAGTCCCGGAGCGTGGCGGGGCTGGGCTGAGGTGTGTAACGGAGCTTTGTGTTGGTTTTGCACGTGGTTGCACTAACGCAGGGCACGGCTGAGCGGGCGGCAGCGCTGCTCCTCCCGTCACTGACAGCAGCCTCTCCCCTGGTTCTAATTAGTTCCTCTGTGTGGTGTTACGGTGCTCTCTTGGAGCATCTCTGATGTCCTATAATCGAGCACTAAAATAATTTTCCAGTTTAAATCAGGGATTTCCAGATTACTGTAAGATAATTTTTTAATCTCGCCGTGATCGTGTAACGAGTGAAACAAATGCAACTTGCTCCATGGAGTGGGAAACCCGCGCCGCTCAGCTTTGTGGAGCAGGAGAGCACGGCTGAGCGGGCGGCAGCGCTGCTCCTTCTCCCGTCACTGACAGCATCCTCTCCCCTGGTTCTAATTAGTTCCTCTGTGTGGTGTTACGGTGCTCTCTTGGAGCATCTCTGATGTCCTATAATCGAGCACTAAAATAATTTTCCAGTTTAAATCAGGGATTTCCAGATTACTGTAAGATAATTTTTTAATCTCGCCGTGATCGTGTAACGAGTGAAACAAATGCAACTTGCTCCATGGAGTGGGAAACCCGCGCCGCTCGGCTTTGTGGAGCAGGAGAAGGGATGATGTGAGGAGAGGTCTTAAGGAAGTTAAAACATTCACAGCCATTTTTCATCTCTGATGTCCTATAATCGAGCACTAAAATAATTTTCCAGTTTAAATCAGGGATTTCCAGATTACTGTAAGATAATTTTTTAATCTCGCCGTGATTGTGTAACGAGTGAAACAAATGCAACTTGCTCCATGGAGTGGGAAACCCGCGCCGCTCAGCTTTGTGGAGCAGGAGAAGGGATGATGTGAGGAGAGGTCTTAAGGAGGTTAAAACATTCACAGCCGTTTCCTGGGCTGTTTGGCTCGCTCGGGCAGCACCCTCAGCCCTGTGTGATGGGGGCTCCCGGGGGGTCTGTCGGAGAAACCGGGGTCCCTGCTCTTAGCACTTGTGCTCTGGGTGAACGGGAAGGAAATGGTGGATATGGGGAAGCGCAGGATGCTGTCAGGATGATGTTGGCTCTTTTTTTTGTCTTGCCTTGCTCCTGTTCCTCTAGTTACTCATTGGTTTTATCTCACACAAAGCCTTCCTTCCAGGGCTGGGGGGTTTGTCAGCATCTCCTGGGGCATCCTCCCTCCCCACTGTGCTTCTGGGGGTGTGGTGGCCCTGAGAGGGTTTTTTTGAGTTCCTGGGCTGGCTCCTCCTGGGGAGAGGGCAACCAGCCCCATCCTGCACTGGCCACTGGGCTGCCCAGCCCCAGCCAGGGTGGGGAACAGCTGCTGCCTTGCCATTTCCAAGAGTCTTTGAGAAGGACCCCGTGCAGGGGCTGCTGAGGACGGGAGGAGTCCAAGGTGAGGGAGGAAGTTTGGGGGGTTTTGTCTTCGGGGTTTATTTTTTTTGGCCATTTGACTATGAGCAGTGGAGAAGAGCTAAAGAAGTGATTGATTTCAGCGAGGAAGAAGAAGGTGATGAAGGAAAGTTGGCCCTGGATGCACTAAGCAGGGAGAGGGCACATGCACCAGGGCAAATTTTGAAGATGAAAACAATATATTTGCGACAGAGAGGGTGGCCCTGAGAGGGTTTTTTTGAGTTCCTGGGCTGGCTCCTCCTGGGGAGAGGGCAACCAGCCCCATCCTGCACTGGTCACTGGGCTGCCCAGCCCCAGCCAGGGTGGGGAACAGCTGCTGCCTTGCCATTTCCAAGGGTCTTTGAGAAGGACCCCGTGCAGGGGCTGCTGAGGACGGGAGGAGTCCAAGGTGAGGGAGGAAGTTTGGGGGGTTTTGTCTTCGGGGTTTATTTTTTTTGGCCATTTGACTATGAGCAGTGGAGAAGAGCTAAAGAAGTGATTGATTTCAGCGAGGAAGAAGAAGGTGATGAAGGAAAGTTGGCCCTGGATGCACTAAGCAGGGAGAGGGCACGTGCACCAGGGCAAATTTTGAAGATGAGAACAATGTATTTGCGACAGAGAAGGTTACCTGAAAGTATTAAGAATGGAAGGGAGGAAAAATAATGGAGTAACAGTGAGAATGAGTCATGAGTACATGGTAGTATACTTCAGAAGGAATAATTCCAGCTACTCTTTGTGAAATCCAGAGGAAAAAGGCCTGGGATGTCATGTAGGATGTTTAAGTTAAACTCCTTAATTTCTGTGGTTAAGGGAAACTAATAGTGGCTAAAGATAATGCAAATGAAGGAATTGTAAGAAAAATGTTATCATGGTGCTCCATTTAAAAAGGTGAACGGGGAGACCTGTGCCCGTGAAGAGACTGATGGTGGGAATGAGCTGGAGGACGGGGGGTTTGGGGCTGGTTCCTCCTTGGGGAGGTTTCGGCATCGATTCCAAACAGTGGAGGGTGCGTGGGGACTGAAAACTCCTGATTGTGCTGCAACCCGGGACGCACAGAACCGGTCGTGTCCACATCCCCTGCGCCTGTGAAAGAGAATATTTTGGGTGTTTTTCTGGGCAGGGTGCAATATCGGTGGGAGGAGGGAGCTGTACCGGCGGTGCCGATGCCACGTCCCCGTGCTGGGGGGGACACGGCGGTGCCAGAGCCGGGGCGCGGGCTGGCGGGGCAGAGACAGGGGTGTGGAGATGAGGTGGATGGGGTTGTGTGTCACGGTTCTCCTAACGCTCTCTCTGTGAACCCTTTCCAGCCCACGACCTTCCCCCGAGCAAGACCTCGGCCACGGCGCAGACCGGCAGCCACCTGCAGTGCCTCTCGGTCCACTGCACGGACGACGTGGGCGAGGCGAAGGGCCGGACTGCGGTGCCGACGTGGAGGTCCCTGCACTCGGACATCTCCAACAGATTTGGGACTTTTGTGGCCGCCCTGACTTGAACAAAAAAAGAAATTTTAAATTTTTTTTTTTTTTTTTTTCCTCTTTTTAATTTCAAAGGGCCGCTACTGCTAGGTGGACTATTTTTCTAGGTTGGTACCTGCTTAGTGGCATATGGACTGGAAAGGGTTAATTTAAAGTAAACCTCAACTTTTTTTTAATCTTCTGCCACAGTATGTTACCAGTGTTAACCCTTCTGCAGTTAGCACACTTTTGCTTAAGATTTTCCTGCTAGACCACTTTTTCCCATTATTCTGTAACCTTGGCATACATTTATAGATGAGGCCTTTTCCTTTTTCATCTCAGCGTATGTCCAAGTCACGTATGTCATAATAAGACAAAGATCCTCCTCCTCTTCTTCTTCCTCATTTGCTTTGTTTTTCTTTTCTTTTCTTTTTTTTTTTTTCCCCCCTCTCGTTTTGCTTTGTTCAGTGCTTATTACAATGGTGATCCCTGAAGAACAGCAGTTCAGGAATAAACGCCGGTTAAAGCGAAATGGTCATCATTATAGTATATATTATATTGACACCCAGCTTTTGCCAGTCACATACAAACCAAACAGTTAATGCTCTATTGAATATTCAGGCAACGAGCCTGCCCTTTCCTGAGAAAATGATGTTCTGTTACTAATAACGTTCAGCCTGGTTTGCTCTCCGCCTCCCTCTGCCAGGACGCTGTGTTTACCCCGGTGAAGCCCAGAGATGAAGCTCTTTTGGGAACGGGCTGGTTCACACACAGCCAGGGAAGGTATAGAAGAGGTGTTTTTCTAAATAAGTCTAACAGGAAGTTCACTTAATAATTAAGAGTCGTTCTCTCCTCCGCCGAATGCCCAGGCTCCCTCTCCGTTGCCGGGAGGAGCAGGGGATGCTCCCCGGTGCGGCCGCATCCTCCTGGTGATGCTCCCACAGTTCCCCCTTTATAACTGCAGGAGGAAAAAAAATCCCCCCGGAGCCACCGTGTGCCTCCTGCATGTGCTGTCCCTGCCCACTTTTGCCCATTTTTCACCCATTTTTAGCTGAAGGAAGGTGCTGTCGATGGAAACAGGATGCAGCATCCTGTGCATGTATCTGTGGGGCACCCCCCACCATCCTGGTGCAGTGGCAGAGGTGAGGGGACAGCCCGAATCGGGGGACGTGGGGGGGCTGTATGCCCACAGTCAGCATTTCCTAAGATGCCAGGGCAGGGAGACCCCCCCAGTAGACCCTCAGAACTTATTTGAGGCCCCATTTTTGCCACGCAGTAAAGAACAGCGTTACTTAGACGCAGACAATAAAAGGAAAACCATACTTTCCTGCTCGTGAGAGATAATACTCATTCGAGGAGAAAGTTGGAAGCAAACCAGATAAAACCACGGCTGACACTGTGATCCCACACTCCTGTGGTTTTACGTAACCGTCCCATTATTTGTGTATCCTCCGTGTCCGGGGAGGGGGAGCGTCCGGCCCCACACCGGCCACCTCGCTTTCCTCTGCTCCCCGGAGCTTCCCAACATCTCTGGAGATGGAGGTTTTTAGCTGTGAAATAAAGGTCGGCCTCTCTAGGGTTATTTATTACTTTTGTCATGAATTCACAAAACGTGTCCCTCCTCAAGGGATGGGGTTTGAAGACTGCTTTGTATTTTATCTTCGATGATTGTGCTGGGCCTTTAATTATTTTGAAGGAGTGTTCTCAGTAGGCACCAATGGAGAGGGAATTCTGCCTAAAATGCCCATGGCACAGAGTGGTGTGAAATCCTCTCTCTCGGTCATCTGTGGCTTCAGAGAGACTCACAGCGTTTGGAAATGTTAGTTGAATGTGCTCTTATTACCCACGCATGGATTGATTTCCTCTTACCGGTCTGGTCAGTGACTTTGGATAAATTGGGGAGGTTTGAACCTTGACTTTCAGTATTGTTTTATTTTGTGCTGAAGCTGGAACTGCCACGAGGTTGAGGATGGTTTTTTGCCCATCCTGGAGCAATTGGCTGTGGAGCTGCTTCACGCCTTCTTGGTTTGAAACAAAAAGATGGGATGTTTCCTACCTTCCGTAGGGGTGTGTGTCCTGCCGAGCGCCCGGAGCCCTCCCCTGTAATACAACATCACTGTCCCCAGAAAAATACCTCCTGGTAGAACAATCATTTTCAGCCTCAGCTCTGGAAGGTGCCTCTTTGCCTGTGTTTTTTTTAAGTCCCAGTTTGCCCAAATATGTGTTTAACTTTAAATCCTGTCTAGGCAGAGCTCTGGGGGCTGCTGAGTGATGTGGTGGTGGGTTCCCTCTGCATCTCCCACCGCTTCCAGCCAGGTGGGGCTGGGAGTAACCCCAGGAAACGCACGCCCAGACATATGGTACCGCCTTCCAGCGCTTGCAACTGAAAATTTAGGAAGAGTTGATGGTCTGATGGCATTCCTGTACCCGAGTGCAGCCCATGGCTTACTTCTTTGTTTTGAGTTTTTCCTGCTGCATTCAAGAGAACAGGTTTTTCAGGCTTCCTGAGGTCAGGGATGCACACCCTGTGCTACCGGGGAAGAGACCTCTGGGTGAAACGCTGCCCTGAACATTTCAGATGGCTTTTAAAGAGAAATCCTCCTCTAAGCAGAATAGCAGCGACTCAGTTTTCTCACCAACCCTTTTTTCCTCTGGTTTGCTCTCTGCAGCTTGTGCTTCTCCCCCGGCGTCCACTGGGGACTGACTTTTCCACTTGCTCCTAGAAATACAAAGTGGAAGCGATTCCTTAAAACCCCATGGAATTCTGACAGTTTTAAATCCTATGAGCTGAGGGGGACGGGCTGTTCTGAAGCTGCCGAGCGTGGGACTGCAGGAACTGGGGCACCACTGGCTCTGCTCCCCCAGCACTGGTGCATTTTTCTGATTTCTTTGCTTTTTGCCAAAGATGAGAACAGAAACGGTACATGTAACTGACCAGGAGGAGCATGGCTTTGTGCTCACAGCCTGGTGTATTTGGTACTGACAGCATATGCAGGAGGTGAGGGCTTTGTCCCAGAGCTCGTTGTTGCCTGCAGTGATTTCATTTTACTCGTTTTCCCCATTAATTTGACGCTGAATGCACTGATTTTTGAATACTTTTTTTTTTTTAACATACCTAAAATACCAGCGTAGCTCTACATGGTAAAAAACAATTTAATTTTGTGAAACATAATACTTCCAAGCAAAGTGTGTTTGAGAGCTGTAGGTAAAAAGCCTGTTGTGCCAGAGGTAAGTTGCGCTTTTTTTGTGGAAAGGGAAACTGTATAAACCCAGAATAACTTAATCTCACGCCTGCTTTTCCTGAAGGGCTTCCAGGCCGGGGGGAGAAGGTACCAAGAAGTCAAAGATCGGTGGTAGATGATGTGCCATTAAGATATGCACGAATTTTGCTATATATTGGGAACAACAGCTAAAAATGCAGCTTTTTGGAGCCTTTTCCCTGCCTCGCCTGGTGTTTTTGGTTCTCCCACGTGCCCCCCCCTGCCCCAGGCACTGGGTACGGGGGAGCCCGGGTGTCACCGACCTCCTGACTCCTTTGGTATTTGTTAAATGAAACTCTGCACTTGGTCTCGAAGGTAAAATGTAGCAGCAAACCCAGCAAAATCTTTCTTGCATTTCAATTGGGAGGAGTGATAAAATAGCTCTTTGCCAAAAAAAAAAAAAGAAAGGAAAGAGTAGGCCTTATTTATTAAAATACTCTTGCGAATTTTCTCCGGATCATTTTTTTTTCCTAGGGTTACTAGTTCTCTGCTATTCTATTCTTCAGTGAGAGAGGGGTTAGGGCCATTTTTATTTAGTTACAGTGATTTTCATCAAGTGGGTAAGGATTTTGTTGTGTGGTTAAGGGTGGAAGGGAATGAGCGTCAAAATTACGTCGTCTGGGTCATTTAGGGACCGGTTCCGGATACTTTCTGTCTCCGTGGTCATTCCAGGGCTGCCTTCCCTCCCCACACCAGGCTCCCAGTCACCACCAGTAAAGCAAAACGGTCCCACCTTTGTGCAGGAGGGAGAGGGAGAGGAGAGCACGGGGTCAGCGAAACACACTGTGGGCAGGGGGATGGGGGGGAAATGCAGACAGGAACAAAAACTGGTAAATTTTGATTATTTTTGTTAAGCTGCAGTGTAAGGTTTTCTCAACTACTAGATTCACAGCTGTTCAATGGATGGTGTATAAGAGCATAACCCATTTTTATAGAATTGTTTCTCCTTTATTGCTTAAGGCTAATGGAGGAAATAGTCTAATTTTGTCTTAGAAATTCTCTATTAAAATTGTTGGTTTGAGTCCATCCGCTCATAGATTCTGACTGATGAAACTGCAGGCTGTGATTTCCAGCAGTTATAACTTTATCACTATTCACTACCCGAGAATATTACAGCTTTAAAACAGCCTTAAGCAAAAGGATGTTATTTCTTTGTACTAAATTTGGTTCATGGAAAAGAAAAAAAAAAAAAAAGAAAAAATCCAAAACACTGGTAATCCGTACTGCATAGCAAACTCTTCTGAAAAATGTTATTGCACATGTAAAATATGAAAACTTGACTCTGCTGTGTGTTAGGCAATCCTGTAATCTTTTTTTTTCTTTTTTCTTTTTTTTTTTTTTGGATTCTTGTTAAATTCATTTCTTAAATGCTTGGTTGGAAGACTGTGACAATAGCTCATGAAATTGAGTGTTATTTTTCTTTCTTTTTTTGTTTTTTTGTTTTTTTTTTAAATATGTAAAGTGCAGTCTTCTGTATTCATGCATATTGTACATATCTGTATATGTTTTACTGAGCAACTAAATAACAATAAATATGATGTTAATGGTGGCTATTGTATATTTCATACCAGGTTGGTTAATTTTTGTGGCGAGTCCCTTTTTCCCTAAGATGTGAAGAAATGAAGTGTCGTTCTTCGTGTACAGGTAAAACCTGAGCCTTGTGATGATCAGGACAAATTTTGCTGTTTTTCTGGGGTAAATCCTCTCTAACATCTGGCTTCCCCGGCTCAAAGAGGAAAGATAAACCTCCCCAGGAGCTGCTGGATTTCAAGGAGGCTCCTCCCCGGGTCCGGAGGATCCCTGGGAGGAGAGAAGGTTATTGTAAGCCGAGGTGCTGGATCCTCCACAGCACTTCTGGCCAGATTTTTGAGCTGAAATGTGTGAATAAAAGGTAAACAGGCTAGAGCTCTTACAGAGATTCTTAAAAATCCCTTCATCTCTGTTTTTCAAATTTCAAACTCTTAATCCTTTCCCATTCCTTAGAGTTTTCCAAGGAGTCTTTCAGGAGAAATGTCCTAGGGTATTTTCCAAAGGAAAGAAAAAAAAAAGCTCAATAACCCAGGTGATGTTCAAACATGTTGTTTTTTGAACTGAGGGGACACCCTTCTGTGTCTGTTGTGCTCGCAGGACACACAGAAGCGGGGCTGGCTTCACTTGTCATCTGAAAGGTTGGTGGCCTCTGGTGATGCTGGCACGGTGCTTGCCCCCAACCCTTGCCTTCGTGCCCGCTGCTCCGTGCTCAGGGGCTCCTTCCTGGTCCGTGTCAGCGTCAAGCAGGGATTATAGTTTATTAACTAAAGGAAAAGCACGTAGTTGGTCAGAGAGCTTTTACGGTTGTTGTTCCCCCTGCCCCGAGACTGTGCCGAGAGCTGAAATCTGGCCGTAGCCCCGTCTCTTTTCCCAAGCCGTTTAACTGATTTAATTATGTCCTTTGAGTTATTTTCTGCATGAAGCTTTGGCATTCCTGTCACGGAGGAGACCCTATAAATATGGATTGTACGTGCGGCGGGCGGGGGGGATCCGTCGGCAGCGCAGCTGGATCCCGGGTGCCGAGGTCCCTGCCCAAAGCCGGGAAGGGGAGCAGCCCTGAGGCACTTTGGGCAGCTCGAACCCCGCTTTTCAGGGGGGCAGAGCTCCAGGGTTAGGTGTTAGAAGGCGTTTGTGTTTGTGGGCTCCTGGCTGTGACTCCCTGAGCCATTTAAACCCCCGTTTTCCAGGTTGTTGTCTGCGCCAGCTGCTTGCAAGGGTACGGCAGAAGGCATTGCTTCCCCTTCAAACCAAAATAAATAAACACAGGAATGAAAATTTGGGTCAGTGACATCCTTCTGGCGGAGAAACTTGTCAGAAAATGGAAATGTGATGGTTTTCTTTCAGTACGAATTGAGTATTTCCAAAAGTCTCAAAGCCACACGCCTGAAGCAGTTACTTTCCTGCCTGGTGACCAGTCTGTAGTCTCCCCAGCTCTTTTAGCTTTTTCAGTTGGATGGCCAATAACATCGCATAGATTTTTCTTGTAAAATGTCTGAAAACTCTTTGCTCAGGTGAGCTCTGTAACGCTGTGCCTGCTGGGCATGGGATGAAATAGAGGGGAGGTCTGTTCTGAGCTCTGCTTCTTGCCGAGACGTTGCTGGAGCTTATTAATGATGGTGCAGAAAGTGGAGGTGACAAAGACCTGAAGAAAATCATTTAGGTCATCTTTGGTTAATTAGTGCAGGATTGTTCCCTGTTCTCTAATTCCCAGAGCTCTGACCAGCACAACTAAAATTGACAGAGCAGCGGAGGGAGGGGGAGGTCTTAACCTTTTAGTTATAAAAAAAATAAACCAACCAACCAACCCTTTATCCCCAGCTGTGGAGTGGGGATAACGTCCCAAATGATGGAAGGGGAAAAGAGCCCACTGGAATTACACTGTGTCTTTCCAAGCAGTGAATCCATGGATGTGCCAAGCCCAGGGAAGCTCCTGGCAGGACCCCGGTGGCCCGGCTGGTCCCGGGTCGGTGCGTGGTGCACGGGTGGGATGTGGGAGGTGGGAAGGGAGGTTCCTTCTCGTTCTCACCTGGCCACGGACACATCGTCACCACAAGGCCTGTGAGCCATCACTGAGCTTCGTTATTTCCTGATACCAGCACCTGGGAAAACGGCACACAGGGAAAAACCCCGAGCCCTAATTAATGTTTGCTGTGTCCTTTTAGGGGCTCATGTTGTGAAGCCACAGACAAAGAAGCTGTTGAAACGTCACCCTAAATTTGGTGTTAAAACATGAGTTGAAACTCAGGCTCCTTCTGGAAGGAGGCTGAGAAGTTTGGTGTTGGGAAGGCTCATGTCCAGCTGAAGGGTTTGTAATGCACCGGGGTTAACTGGCGGAGAATATTCAGTGCCCAGCTTCAGGAGGTGGGAACTTTTCTCAATTTCCTTTTATCCTCTGCAAAATGCCCCTCTCTCCCTTCCCCCTTTCTTCCCCCCCACAT